GCTGCATATGACAAAGTACACTTTATATTTTATATCGGCGAATTCGGTGACCATGATAACGCTATCAAAGGCCATTTGCAGTGCAACCTAGTCCCTAGCGGTTACTGAAATTCCAGCACAGCTTCTATATAACCCCAAAAGGAGACTTTCTTCCTGTATCCAACTGATTCGTCGAGTTCTACTCGGACTAGTGTACGGCAAACAACGTGAAGAGGGTTATTAGGGTCACGGAGTTCATCAGTTCGGGAAGACAATTGGTGCTACCGATGCATTTATGTAGTGATTCCCAGATTAAGACTGTCACAATAAACCACCCTCGGAGTACTGTGAATAATTCTGTTTCTTTTCTGTCCTTTCCTTTCAATCTTTTAACTCCTGCACATAATTGCATGAATGGGCCAGAGCCGTGGTTGACTGGTCAAACAATAAAGACATCTTGCACACATACCTTTGGGGGCGTCTTCCCATACCCACATTCAAACACACACACTTACAATAAATAGTTTCTGTATAGTAAGGAACACAATTAAATATGCATGATTTTGGTTTGAACGAGAATGGTAGTGCAGTGACGTTTGAAGAGGTATAAATTGGTGGAAGGTTGTTTGGTTTAAAATAGAGTCAGGGCAGTTGTCTCCCATGTGTCTGATGAGTGAGTGGATGTGCTAGCAACGTGCTCTGCTGCAGCGACTTTGTACATGTAATTGCTTTTGGGTAATTCAGGCCCGAAGAGAGATCTTTTGAGTAAACCTGACTTGGAGGAATTTGCAGCTCGGTTAGATTTTGTAAAATGACGTTTTGAGCAAATTTTGGCTCAATTTGTATCTTCACTTGGCACGATATAGGGAGACAAGTCAACAACATTCACAAGCAACCACGGCCCTTGGTGACTTTTAATGTCCTGCTTCGGTCGTGATGGTCTTTCTTGAATCTTGATGCATGGCTGGCATCGCTTGATGTTTTGTTCCGAGCCTTGATGGAAGAGGAACGCGTGGGGACGTGACGTATGTAGACGTATGGAAGGAGGCCATTTGAAGTGGAGTCAAGTAGGAACTGAGTGATCAACTCAAAGAATTTATACAGCCTCCATTGAGAAAAGCCATCAAGAAGTCAGTTTTAAATCCATAATCATGTATAGCCTTTTATCAAGTATATGTAAGTTTTAATTCATGTTAAATAATTATTATCATTGTGGATAAATAAGAGTGTGCCTGGAATTGAAGTTAAATTTAGATCGAAGTTGTTGCATCGAGATCATTGAACTATATACTTGTTGATAGCCAATTGAATTTGATTTTTGAGAAGTGGGGTACGAAATTTACTTGAGTGATTACGTAAATTTCCTGCAAATCGTAGTTCACTGAGCGGTGTAATTCGATTTTATACCATTTTGACTCTTGGGTAGGGTCAGATATGCATAAGTTATTTTACTCGTGACTTAACTTTTGTAAATTAGCATTGTGAGTGGTATAGGCCCCCATAATTGTTGTGTAATAAATTAACAGATATTATAGAAGAATTCGTGGACTTGATTTTATTTGCCTTGCTTAGTAAACACTATTAGAGATAGGTGACTAATTATGACAAAGACCCTTAACAAACAACATTCCATACAAAAACCTGCTAAAGCGGCGGGGAGGACACCAGCCTCAGTCTTAACAGAGGGCGTACCGCATTACATTGAGTCGACGTGCCGGTCGGCAGAAAACACTGAATTGGTGGAGGCGCAACAGGAAGTGGTAACCTCGCGGTCACAGGTCGTGCCCGCGACGAGCGAATCATCGACTTTTCAGAGGGTAGGCCAACCGCTCCTTCTTTTAAGAGTCATTGTCTCTGTTCAATTTTGCACTGTATGGGTGCATTCCGACAAATGGTTGTATTCCTGCGTGCGAGTCATTAATATTAATTTTTGTGATCCTTCTGGGTTTTTACAATAAGACATGCCATAATCAAAAGAAAACATAGAAATATTTCTATAATATTTCTTCGAGGCTAACCCCCATAAAATTGAAAAAAAAAGTGACCTTCTGACCATAATCTTGAACTTCCAATGAAAAAAACTAGTCCAACCTATTCACGAGAGTCAACAGGCGGCGCTATTTCGGTCTGATTTTCCACTGTTTTCGGGAGGGGGCGTATTTGGTGTAGCGCAACCTGCTATTTCGGTAGATAGGGTTGGCAGTCGGGTCCGAATTATACGGAAGCGAATATAGGACATGACTAAAATAAATTGACCTGCTATTTCGCACGCAGGGGTCCGTATCTCCTAGTCTCTCTCTCTCTCTCTCTCTCTCTCTCTCTCTCTCTCTCTCTCTCTCCATTTTGTGTGAAAGGGGAAATAAATGTTGGGTACTTTTTTTCGTTCAAAATCAATTCAGTTGAAAAGTTTCTCATGAACTGTGCCCAGGGTTTGCTTTCCAGAGGGGGGGGGAAGCCACAGAGTGGGGGTGGGGAAGGGGAAAATGATTTTTTTTTCAAAAATTGACGTAGGTGCCACCTCGGAGGGGTATTAAAACAAACGGCAGTCCATTTTTCTGTGGTCTATCTCCCGCCCCAAAAATAAGGCCGCGACGGTTTCCGTCCAATCCACATTTTTCTCGTGAACTAGCCTCACGTTTCACGCTTTGGGTCTTCCAGACTTCTGAGTAACTCTTTGCAGTCATTTTGTGCATCTATTTTGTAAGAATCGGTCCTACTGTTATCGCATAGTGTCCATTTTTCTAAAGCAGCCAAAACCTACTCTTTTCAAGTCCTCGCGCACACGTTGCTAGGATACGCTGGCAAGCGCGTGGCCCCAAACTTCAAATGGCCATAGCCACATCTTCAATTGAACTGAAAATGCACTGATTCGTTGATTATTTGTGTTGATTGTGACTGTCTTTACATGCATGCAGATTTTAATTAAAATCACGTATGGGATGGCCGAGTTCGGGGGGGGGGCGAATCCACTCCCTACCTGTAAGCGGTCCCCCATATATACTTCCAACCTTTTAGGGTTAAGAGTGAAGTAATGTTCGTACGAATTCCTCTTAAAAATTAAAAACAAAAAAGGATGAGTTTAAAAGTCGTCAGGGGTGAATCTATTCCCATGCCCTTTCCCGCTCATACACTGAATACGCCACTAAACCTTATCTAAGAGAGGAAAGGGGGTTCAAGTTCCTGGAGGGTACATAGCACCGTCGGTAAACTACGAACTGATCATGAACGTCATGATGATGCACTTGCTCATCCCTCGGTAAACTATCGAGGAAAACGGCAAAAAGAAGGGGGGGCAGGAACAAGAACAAAGGAGAACACAAAGGGAAAAAATAGCTGTTATTTTTCAAGCTATTGTGCTTTTCGTTTCATCTCATTTCATTTATTTCATATAAAACATATACTATACTATATACTATACTTTTATTCCCTTTAATCTATTTTTGTCATAACTTTCGCATTTTATTACTATTTATTATTATATTTGATATTTTTCTTGGGGACGCAAGTGCCCTTCCCCCCCCCCTTTGCGACGCAAATTTAGCAATGTGTTACGATGCCAACTCAGTCTCGATTTTAAACTTTCTGTCTGTCACGAGTAAGTCGCCCCTTTTGTTAGGAGAAACAAAAAGGCTGACTCCTAAGCAATAGGTAAGCCTACGTAGCTTGTTGCATTGCGTCAAAGACTTGATATCCAAGTAATGGATCCGTTCCGTCATGGCCGCCCAAAATAATATGGCGCCTCGTCTTCTTCGTTTTGAGTCTGCTACCCGGTCGGGCCAGCCCATGTCAGCGAGCGGCCTAACTTTCGAAGACTCGCGAAGCCGATCCGTTTTGGCGGCAGTTTTTTTACCGCCTGGCCCGCAGCACACCACCCCACTATCCGAGTCACCCCCCCCCCCAGGACACCATCCGGCATTCCAACACACAGATCTGCGCCACTCTCCCGGTTGATCACTATTTCGCCTGAGCAAATTACTAATCTGCCCGGGCGAAATAGCAGGCCCCAATTTTTTTCTTCAGTCATGTCCTATATACGCTTCCGTATATTTGCCAACGCACAGCCAGCTGATCAGATAAAGCTAGAAGGCTTACGTTTGTGTTACACGCCAGTCGCCGTGAGCCTAAGCTACCACTCTTTTCCGGCTAAATCACATCCTCAAGTATATACAGAATGGTTCGCGCCTGGCACATGAATGATTCTGCTGAAGACCAGCGGGAATCGCATCACTTGGATCCGCCACAGTTTGTCGATCTCGACTACCTGAAAACTCTCGGTGTTTTTCATTGGAAGGTAGGTCGGTGTTTTTCATTGGAAGGTAGGTCTATCCTAGCCCCACTAGTGTGGCACGGACTCTCACTCCCGATCCATCCTTATCCGTATGTGCAATTTCGTGTCGGCGAAATGAACATTTTTGGCGCACCAACTTATAATCGTGGGTGCAATTTCTTTTGTACACTAACATGATTCTTGACCTTTCCGTTTTCTAAATACCATTTATTGAATGATTTCACTCACGTTATTCAGGTATTTTGCAGTCTTTTTTCCCTCATCCATTCAATCTAACGGGCCCACTCTCACAGTCGCCATCTTTAAAATAAGGTCGTTGAGCATTACGTCACTTGACCCCTCATCGTCTCAACGGCTGTTCCATGTCAAGACATCTAAACTGCTGCGAAAGTTTTGGAAGAGTCCATTGGTACGTGTAGTACTAGTATCTTATCGCTCAGTCCGTTTATTACAAAAGAAATTGCGCCCACGATTATAAGTTGGTGCACCAAAACTGTTCATTTCGCCAACACGAAATTGCGCATACGGATGTGTGGCTAAGGATGGATCGGGATTGAGAGTCCGTGCCACACTAGTGGGGCTAGGTCTATCCACGGAGGTGGCCTATCCATTACCTCTGACGCCATTCCTTTCACGCATGCCCCCCCCCTCAATTAGACTAGTTTGTGCGCATGTGTACTGAATCCCATTATAGTCAGAAGCAAAGATCGTATAGTGCCGAAGGCTCAAGATGGATAACTCTGCCCAAAAGATGTAATGGCCATGGGCGCAGGTAATGGTAATGCTTGGGTGGAGGCTCACCAGGTACACGTGCCTGCCTGGGCGCCTTTGGGGTGCACTGAACCAATTCAAGCTCCATTGAAAATAGTGTAAACTCAACCAAGTTTGGAGCCCCATGGTAGGCAATTGAAGTCCCTGAGGCCTCTCAAACAAAAAACAATGTGTTGTTTGGTCCTTCAGATTTCATTTGATTTTCAATTTTTAGTAGGTTAACCAATGAATTTTTCAATTATCCGCCCGAAACAAACTCACCCTCAAAAAAGTGAATGTTGCCAAGCCCTCCCAGGGGCCATTTTTCAAATGACATCCCGCACCTTCCTAGGGCTCTTCTGACTAATTTTCAATCCCATTTTTGTCTGTTTTGCCCCCAGATGGGTGCCCCATAATCTACAGAGATGATCCTGGGCCAAACTGACAAAATCCCACCATTTCTTGGCCCAAACAGACCCCTCTTTTCGAAACAATCTCTGGGGGTACATTTTGTGCACCTCGGCCTGGCAGAGAATTTTCCTTGAATTGGGACACTGCACCCCTGTGCACATTCATGTGCATTGCGCACGTGTATCGCTTGCTCACATGGCGCCCATGCGATTACAACGTTTTACGTGTATTCACCTTAAAGTTCCCCATCTATAGCGCCGCCCAGGCTCAGAAAAAGTTGTTTGCCCCTCATTTCCATACCGATTAGTATTTATAAATCCCTGGGATGCGTTCCCAATTTAAACTCACACAGTCACGGGGACGGACTGTTCCGTTGAGTCCATTACATTTTTCAGGTTTGCAGAGCCCCGAGTCCGTCCTGAAGGTATATTAATGCTTCAGAGGTTGTCCCATAGCCTCTACAGATCTTACAAACCACCAAACCCACCAAAAGTACATCACAGTACCATGGGGGGCCGTTTTCCCAGGCTATCCGGATTTGAAGGGGAGGCCCCTCGCCAAGTGCCAGCCAAGCCATACCACCACCACAAACCCCCCCCAACAAAAATAACACTTCAAAGACAGCCGACAGAGGCCTCTGACAAGTTCCAGACAGCTGTCACTGATAAAGAACATTCCACTGCCTGCCCCAGGCACCGTTTTGTAAACAGCCCATTAGGTTGTGCACAAGGGACCAATTAGTACACAGTCCTATGGGAATTGCCTGGAGGCTGGCTCAAGGCCGTCTGGCTTTTTTGCATTTTTTTCTGGCTCTGGGAGGCCCTGGCTGTAAAATGCATGTTCAGGGGTAGGATATGATAAGTAGTCGTGGAATTTGGACTTAAAAAAATATATCTATATGTTAATTAGCTCCAATGGACTCGCCAGGAGAGGCCGCCCTCTCTACCGCGGGTTTTAAACACTCAAAAGTCTTTTTTGCTAACTTTCATACAATAAAAATCCATTTTCTGCCAAAGTTTTGCCCGTCTTTCTTACGTACCTTGAAAGTAACAGAGTCAAACATTGGAAGTGAAGCCAACATTCTAGAGGGGATTTTTTCAGTTTTGCCGAGTTTTCCCTGACATTTCACTACAAAGAATTAGCAAATTGATCTGTGGTGTGATCACCCGTAGAAAATGGGGTTCGTACGCCGCACTTCCACGAACGACCTACACCTATGAGTAGGCCTACAGTACGGGGAAAGAGCGTGGGATGTAAACAAATTATGCTTGGACTGCATTTTTTGGCAAGTCACAGCGATTTGATTACCGCCAGGACTGTTGTTGAATTTTGTGAAATGAGTGGAAGAGCAAGATAACGGTACAAAAAGTCTTCCAACTAAGGATCGGCATGGCCATGCGAAGGCCAGCTGCTTGCGACATGTACGTGCATGTACAGTGTACACTTATTATATTGCACATATCGCTACGTGTACGTGTGCGCACCAACCCTGATGGTACAACGTAATTATCAGTGACGTGTGAATATGCTCGCACGGTTCAAGAATTGCAACGAATTATGATACAAAATAAGCAAAAAATAAATCTGCAAAATCTGTTCTATTGATCTGTCTAGCACCACACAACTCGTGAAGTAAAACCCATAACTCTTAGGCCTGTTTTTGACTCAATAGAATGCACTCATACTGAACGACTGTGCATGTTGTTACATGTACGTTAGGCCTACTTTACGCACACTATCCACATGTCATGTACTGTACGTGTACATTGTACACGTGGCCATGCATGGGGACCGTGGAGGAACTTACCCTGATTTTTTCGCATTGGGCAAAAGCTTCTCGTGGATGTGGCCGTTTAGAGACCTTCTTCGGACTCTTTCCTTTTTTTGAAGATGGAAATAGGGTAGGCACTGCATCCATCTTCAGCATATTTTTTAATGTCATGCCGAACGAAGAACCTGGCAGTGCAGCAAGCTTGTGCCTCTTTCTACGTCACACCCCACGCGAAGATTAATGTTAATGAGGGTTGAGTTTTGTGGACTGTTGGCCTGACCGACCTTTTTTAAAATCAAGTATTGCCTTCCTATCTCGGAAAGAAATCAACAACTCACACAAAGTATCACTCTTTGTATCATAATTTATTGTTCGACACCAGAAAAGAACCACTAAAATTCCTATTACCCTGCTCCTTTAATGAATTTTTGAAAAGAAGCAGCTTATATGTACTGTATGCATGTAATTCACTGCATGGTGTTTATATGCTAACAAGATTTGAAGGGAAATGTTATTTTGCTTGGAGTGATTGCCATCGTAAGGGAAGAGGGCACAGTTGAACAAGAGGCAAACTCAAGGTTTGCCTTAAGGTTTCACAAGTTTTGGCAGGGTTTCTAGAGGCACATCTGGGTAAACCCTCAGGTACATGTCCACACATGTATGCCGTTGTTGAATGTTACATTCCTCCTAATGAATTTCATTCACAAGATTGCCAAGTCTGTTGAATCAAATATACAAATTTATTGAACACACTGCAACGGCCTATTTTGCTATAATTATCAGCACATGTATGGTGTAACCTCATTTTGAAAAAAGTGTTTTTCATTTGGACAATAAAATTGAGATGACTGGTATCCATTTTTTTAAACTACCCATCAAAACACAAGAATGGTAACCTACATGTATATTTTGCCCTCAATTCCCACGCATATTTAGTTTAAAAGAAATTTTTTAAAAAGATCTACTTTTTATTCAAGATGGCTGACTTGAAGAACCAGGTTGACTTTCATTATAGGTGGATGCAGATAATCTGAAAGAGGAAGGACTGCTGGATAAAATCAAGAAGGAACGTGGTTACACCTACGAAGATGTCATCGCGATCTCCCGAGACACCCTTCCAAATTACGATGAAAAGGTTGGTATTGCTCCCGGGTAAACATGGTTGAGGGGAGAGTGCAAACTCAAACATGCATTGATGTTTCCCTCGGGGTTTGACTAAGTGTAACAGAGTCTCAAGGGTCACCTCGGGGTTAAACCTAAAGTGCCTGCTTGAATAATTTTTCGTTCTGCTGTAACCAGACAGTTTTTCTTTCCAAAGTGTGCTCTGCAGTCCAAGAAGGCTTTCATGTGCTTTTAGAAATCAGTATTTTTGGCAAGTCTGTCTCCATGGGCGTCACTAGTAAAGGGCATTGCTCTTTTTTGGGAGGGGTGGGGAGAAGAAGCACATTATAAGGGCAGTAGAGTGACACCGTCAACATTTGAGGTGCAACTTTGGAGGCATTTTGATTGCAAAACTGGCAAAGTCTAGTGCCTTCACAAGGCCAGTCATAAGTAACAAGTAACACTGAAAAAAGAATGCTGATGTCAGTGCTCATTTGAATAGCTTCTGAGTTCTGACTTGGCTTAAGACTGGATGATTCATGATGGGCTTGTAATGGACCTGTGTACTGTGGATCACTGCTAATAGCTAAGTGGTTCTTCTTTTCCCGTAGCTGAAGATATTCTTCAAAGAGCACTTGCACTCAGATGAGGAGATTCGCCTGGCGCTGGATGGCAGTGGGTACTTTGATGTGCGAAACAAGGAAGACAAGTGGGTACGCATCCAGCTGGAGAAGGGGGATTTGATCACACTGCCTGCCGGCATCTATCATCGATTCACCCTGGATATGAAGGTATTATGACCAGCAACTGTTCCTTTCCAGTCAATTTTTAAATGTGATGTTACCCTCCTAACCTTTGTCAATCCTCCAAAACCCCCTGAGTGGTTTTAGGGGTTTTAGAGGCTTTATGACCAAAACGTGTCACTAATCAGGAAAGATGTGTTGTGTTGAGGTCTTGGGTGAGACCCTCTGTGCTCTGTGTACAGGCAAGCATAAAGTCATGCCTAGATGGTCATGTGTAATAACTCACACAGTTCCAGGATACCGTTTGGGCTGCCCCAGAATAATGACAGGAATTACTGGAGGGATTTGGAAGATTGAGGCGGTGTCTAGATTTTACATACCAGCAGTGTAGCAGTTTTAGGATTATGAAGGACTAAGGATACATGCTAGGCAGAAGCAAGGGCAGATTCGGGGACAGTAGAAACCTTCCGCTCCCCACCCCAAAGTTGTGTTTGAAATATAATGAGAGAAAAGTGATTTGTTGGGGGTCCACTCGCTGTCTCTTTCTACGTGTACCAGAGTGTTCAAAAAGCCATAAAATGTAGCCTCCCTTCATACAGTCCACAAAAGTTACCTGGAAAAACTTCAGCTATTTTTCCCTCACAGTCACAGATTGAAAATGTACATGTACCGGTACATACATGGACCCATCAAGTGTTCTGTCAGCCTTGTTCCTAGACTTGAAATCAAGTCAGTAATTGGCTGGGTGTAATCCACTTTCCTCGCGATGCGTATGCGGTGCGGTTCGAAATGCAGTTTAAAAATATGCAGGAACAGCCAGAGCAACCTCGCTCCCCCAATTTTCGTGTTCGGCAGTGCTTCAATTACCGACTTGAACAATCTGCATGCCCTTTTGTGCACAACATACGTATGGAGCTTGCTACCAAAATTGGACAGAGCACTCTGATTGGCTAAGAATCCTGATTATATGAATATTTCTTCGAGGGGCGGTTTGATTGGTCAGTTGAACGTTTATTCTAAAAAGATGATTTACCATCTAACTGACTAACGACTTGATTTCAAGTCTACCCTGTTCCTATCAAACCATCTGTAGTCAGAGATGTATCCTTTACATGTGTTTGATCTGAACTCTCGTTGGTTGACCATGGCATAGGATGAAGTCAGGTTCTGTAAACACACTGTGTCTCCATTGGGGGTCCTGGTGTGATTAAGAAGTCCAATGTGAGAGCCACACACACTTGGGCAGTGTGGTTTTTGATTGGTCAATGCTGTTGACATTAGTGGTATGGTACCATACTTTCCCTTCTTCTCTGGTGCCATTAATATCATTTGGTCTGAACTTTAATACATTTGTAAAAGGCGGCAAGAAAAGGACAAAGCCACTGTCAGAATTGAAGTTGAGCTTGGAGAATGAGTCTTAAAGTGGTTACTCATGCAAAGCTGTGTGAGTCACTGTTAAAATTGCACGTCTTAAGGAAATAGATGTTGCTGCCAGCCAGTGGCCTCCTTAGGGACAGTGACCATATAGATCCAGTATGGAAAGGATACACTACTAGCCCCTACTGTGGCTATTGGAGACTTTTTAAGTGGTTGTTTCCTTATCAGAAATTAGACCCAAAAAGTGCTTGGACAAAATGTCATAACACAATTAATGTTGTTCTGCCATTACCAGCTTTTGATCTGCCACATTATATAAAAGGTAGAGTTGTAACGTGCTTTGTCAGGGGCCGAAATTCACTTTTTTTTTCTGGCCCTACCTACCGCACACGCAGCCGCACTAAAAACTGCACACGCAGCCGCACTAAAAAAACGCACACGCAGCCGCCTTGAGCAATCCTTGTTGGGGTACAGGCTGCAACAATTTTTTTTTTGGCCCGATCGGGCAGGCCATGTCATAAATTTGCTTGCTCGAATTGGATCAACACTTGCCAAAGATTTCTCAGAATCCATGATTATTATGGTTATTTAACTAAGGCCTAAGTACTTCATACATGCAGTCTTTTATTAGGCCCCCAAAATAGTTGTGCTATGCATGCCTTCAAAAATTGGGTTGGTAGTTCGGAGCATTTTTTTTTGTTTTGGGGCAGTTTTGTGCTGATTGAATAGCATTAGTGGGGACGACAGCCTCTAAAAGTATCTCAAGAAGTGATGAACATCTGTCTTAATCTATGTAAAAATTTCTACATACAGCAATTCACAAGAAAATTACGAACAATTCACACAATTACAAAGGCAATCATAACGGCAAACTGGCCAATAACGTCCGATATTGTGGGGTAAGCGTGCCTGATGCATGATCTAGACCAGTGGGTGCTAAACCTTGTGCCATGAACAGAACAACCTCAAATTTCACCCACGAACACAGAAAATACAGACATAAATAAGAGACCGAGTTCTGTGAATTAACTTACAGAAAACCTCTTGCAACATAACATTGCTGTCTTTCCGGCCTGCAGCCTTTTGCATTTGTGACGTGTACGGCTGATGAAGAGTATTTATGTACAGTACATTCAGAACATGTACAGTACAGAGTGGTACTGGTTGGTACTTTTCCATCACGCATTCTTTTGCATGGGTGCGGCGTGGCGGGAACCAGAGCAGTCACTGTGACAGCGAAACAAGAATGTTGACAATGCGCCAAGAATCACATGTATGGGGCAATTTTACATACGTACATGTGCATCCTTGGTGCTGGGGACATGGGCCGATGATGAGCGATCAGCCATGAATAATGCCTTCAGTGTAATTAACGTAATTCTAACACAAAACTAATAATAAATAGGACGCCATAAGCCCATATATTGTCTTGATATTTTAAGACCTGTTAGGCGCCAAGTCAAAATAGAAACGGTTCATGAATTGGGAAACGATAGATAAATGATAAGCTCCTTACCCGCTTCAGAGTAAAGCGGGCAACGATAGGGAGTCACTAGCTAAATGGCTTGTGGTTTGATGAACACCACTCCTGGGTGATGTTTTGTAACAATAGACAGCTTTAAGGATTACACTCCATTGTGGCTGGTGGTTGAGTCATGAGCTGTTTATCAACAGCTGGGACCGCAGCCCATTGATGGGTTCGGGATGGGTTTGTACTACTGTTTACATAATACATGGATATGGATTTTTTTCCTTCAGTTTGCCACGCTACCCTTACCAACATTAGTCGACTTTTCTTATTTTCGTCTTAGATTGATTTTGAAGTCCTGTGATTGTTGCATCTATAATGTTCTCCATTTAGTTTATTGTCTATTCCAATCATTGACAAATCTGTGATGTGGAAATCACTGCCTGACAGTGCTAGATTTTGGGAAAGAAAACTACAGATTTTAATTCAGTGACACGAGACTTAGTGATGCACATAGGCCTGTTGACTCTGATGGAGTTACAGGTAGTCTTTTGTTAAGAGATTCCCCTTCTGAATAAGCTGTGCTAAGCCTGTGGATGAACTGGCCCAATTTACACAACAAAGCCGATGCACAATAACCATTCATGGTAAGCTGGGCGTCAGGGCTTTTGTACCAAGGTGGGGGAAATGGTGGTATGCATCAAAGATGTTGCTGCATAGCCAACTCCTTTTCAGGAAACGCTCTCTTGCAATCATTGCCCACTTGCAGTTGAATCGGGCAATGGTTTGAAAGGGATTAAGGGCAATCATTGCCTGCTTGGTCAACCGTTTCTATATTTTGACTTGGTGCCTTATTGATACCGGTACATTGGTCGGACAGTTTGTCCAAGCATCTTCGATTTATTCGGACAAACACAATAAGTGCTCGGAAAATGTCCGATGTCCGACCGAAATTTCATGCTCTGCTTGTAGCCAGTGATCATTTTTAACGGAACAATAACCCAAATCAATTCATATCTAGGAATGGCAAAGTTATCTTGGGGTTTCAAAGGTGTTTGAAAGCATTTTTTTTCAGTGATCTCAGATATCAGTTTTCATCCAGAGGGTGTTAAAACCAAGAGAATATAGTTCACAAGTAAATCAAACGATTGGGCTAGCAAAGCATTGGCAAATGTGTTGGTTCAAGGGGGCATTGTTTGCAAAATGGCATGGCAGGGTCTGTGATACCTGCTGGTGAGGGAGGCTCCATTGTTACGCTCAAGATAAAATCCTGGCCAACATCCAGGCAGTGTACAGTTCCATTGTGTGAAAAAGCATGTGGGCTGTGGCTTTTTTGCAATGCTTGGGAATGGCTTTTATTGTTTAGTGCAAAAAACGTAACAGGTTTTTTCTGGGTTTATTGTGCAAGTCAAACTACAAACAATAGACTCCAGGACGGATGGGTGTTTGATCAAGCCCCAGACCAGTCTCCAAGTCCGGTAGCTGGTCCTGTATGAAAGGGGTTTTTGCTACCAGACTAGTTTACCGGGGAGCCCTTTCCTTACCGGATCTAAATGGTCACCGTACCTTAGTTGTGCCTGGGATTTCAGCCAGAGCCAAGTAATTTGAACACAGCTTGATTTCGTTCCATGCAGAATTACATAAAAGCCATGCGTTTGTTTGTTGGTGAACCAGTGTGGACTCCTATCAACCGACCAGCTGACGACCACCCAAAGCGTGTTGAGTATGTTCAGCAGTTTGTCCATTGAAAGCTGACATTGCTGAAGGTCTCTGGATCGACAGTGTTTAACCTTCAAGTGACCTAGAATCTATCTTCCAACCATTCTAACATAAAAAGCCATATATACATGTACCTCATGCTGACCAGTTCTAACAAGTGTGTATTCATATTCTTCTCTTTTTTTCTTGATTTACCAGTAAGTAAAATGAAGAAAAACAACAGAATTTCAGTATGCATTAATAATCTACATGTATTTCCACATGAATGAGAGGGTACTTTGTAACGTAGCAGTGAGAGTGAGTGAGGGTCATTTATACAGGGGTAATTCCAGAAAGAAGGGCTCCAAAAGTGTGGCATTTTTGTCTCCCAGTTACATCTGACCTTTAGTTGACATGGAAATATCACCGGAATGGATTTCAAACTATTACTATTTGTCTTTTAGGTAATTTGCATTAATGCATCACGCATTAATGCGACACTCTTGGAAATTAGAAAATGTGTTCTGAACTTACAAAAACATATGTCAGATGTGACAGGGACATAAAAAAAAATGGCCCCCAATTTCTGGAATTACCCACAGGCCTCTCTCAAATGACATCTCTTCCTACAGATTGTCACGTGCATCAGCATTTTTACTTCAATTTTCGTTAGGTGCATCGGCTGCACCGTATTTCGATCCTAACTGGATCAGTTTCAAACATTTTGCGCACTGCGCACACATACACCTGTTGGAATATTCCTACCAAAATGGCATCCCTTGAGATCTACCAGTATTTCACTGCTTCATATGTAGTATTAATGCATTTCATTATGAGAATCAAAACAGGCATACCAGGGAAGGGCAGAGTTGCCTGGATCCTAGACCCTCTGCCATATTTTTGACTTCAAAAGGGAGGGACCGGAACCCGGCTGTCAGTTACATGTAGGATTGTTTCACTGGTTCCTGTATGCTGTCGTGTATAAACACTGGTACATTAGGTATGGCTGCATACCAGGGGAGTGTTCTTGATTGATGAGAAGAATCTACATGTATGTGTACTGCCAAGGGATTTATGATACATTTTATAATTTACCATATTTTGCATGATATATTTATGAGAATGGCTTTCAATATTTACACTATTCCTTTATTCTCATGCATTTGAAAGCATTTAATGAATGGAGAGTTTGGGTAATAATGGAGGTTAAATTAACATTGTGGCCTTGGAACTTCATGTACGGATAGGTGTACTGTATTTTTGTTTCAATAAAACTCAACCCCAAAAAAAAGAATTAAGAGCAAAAGATTGTATTTCTTCATATGGTGAATTTTCCAAGTTAAGTACAAAAAAAAATGTAGTAGTTTATGATGAAATGTGATATTTATGTGTTTCTGGGAGGCTGCCTTTGAGTGTCTTGCATGCACATTGTACTTTAAAAAGTGTTGGATAGGCCAAGAATGAAAAAAAGCTTCTGGTGCCCAGGCTCTCCCCATTCCTTTTCCTCTGGCTGCTGTTGCCTCGTTTCATTGTAAGGTTTTCTTTTTTGGCTCAAATTTGCAGCGTACATGTACATGTATTTCAGGTTTTGTTTCTGGCAAAATATGTACATGTAGCTAAATATAATGTGTTATGCTTACAGGTCAGAAACTCCTTCAGGATTCAGCAGAAGCTGAAAAGAGTCGCCAAACCCACCCACCATCTTGAAAGAATCCTCATCTTAAAAGAAGAGGGGCCTCTCCCTCCCCTTGAAAAATATATTTAACCCTAACCCTCCTCAATCCTTCACCTGTTGGAGGACTGAGGAGGGTTAGGGTTAATTATTTTATTTAAATTAATTAGAAAGATTGATATGAGGTTGTGGATATTATTTGGCAAATTATTCATGCTTATTCATTTACTGTAGTATTTTTGTGTAGCCTGGAGTGCATAACTTGCACAACTAGCATAAATAATAAAATCAAAGCATATATAAGGTGCAAAGTATCTTACAGCAAAATTGAGTATCTTTGAGGATCTGTAATTCACATTTATAAACTGCCTTCATTCCTTTATTTTCTTACACCTGTAATCAAGGGATGGTAGCTGAAATTAATATGCTTTCTGTGTCAAAAACATACATGTATGTTTTGAAGCTCCTTGTGGTGCATGTTTTTTGTTCAAGCATTTGACCTCTTGTGGTAACTCATATACCGTAATTACGGGGAAGTGATTTTTTCCCCCTTTAGTTTTGGTTTCAAATAAAATACCATTGCTTATTACGACATTTTTTGCTGGTAATCTGTTTATTGTTTCCGGTGAGTACAATATAAAGAAATTTTCAAAATACTTTAGACAAAGCCATTCATATTGGTTGGGAGCCTGTCACGTGCCTGGTCTTAAAATGGTCGATAAAGCACTGGCTGGCTGATGAAGACAATTTCAGTTGTCAAATGAAGTTTGGTCTCCTATGAATTTTGGTCCCCTCCTTGTTTTGGTTGAACATTCGTCATCTTCACAACTCCAGACTCTGGTGCCATTTTTTAAAAACTAACTTTGTGTTGATTTTGAAATGCGATTTGACATTGGAAAACACTTAAAGAAGCTTCTGCCTGTATATTTAACCATGTTTTCAAGGTTGTTTCTCTGATAATTAGAATTTCTAATCCACATCCAGGCATTTGAGTGATTAAGAAAAGATATACTTTTAAAATGTTCTCCTTGTGAGAAAAATTGATAGCATTTTGTATGACAAACCGATATTATGGGTTTTCAACATGAACTTTTTTCAATCCCCACCCCTTAATTGGCAACACTTGACAGAATGTAAGTTTAAGACTTCACACAAGGGAGTACTAAATCTGCCCACTGATTTAGGGTATTAGCAGCAGGCCAGTGGAGTAGCTAGGCTCTTTGTGGGTTGGGACAAGAGTTCTTGGAGGAATCCCCACCACCAATTCCCCCAGTGTGCCCCTGCTACAGATGAATATGAATCTTGATACAAGAGGAGTGTATGCGCATTGAATGTTTTTCCAAACAGAATATTTATACTCCCGACTGCTTTTAAGAGTCTGTTGGCCTCGGTTGGGCACCACCATGCTCATGCCAGAGGTCATGGGTTCAAATCCTGATGGAGAGCATTTTTACTTCCTTTTAACTTAAACTTTACGTGTTATGAACAAAGCAAAAGGTTATTTAATCTACAGCCATGTTAAACTCAAACTTGTTGCAAGTTTTCCCACCCTATAGAACCTGGGACTGTCTACTATAAGGACAACACCGCTATGGCACTTTGTGTCCGTAACAGAAACCGCTTGACATATTTTTCAAAAAGACTCCCAGGGAGATTGAAAATAATAATCCCATCTGGATTCGAACCCGGGCCCTCTGGAACCAAAGTTGCACTCTGCTTACCAGTGCACTGGCATGTCTTCTTTTGCCACACAATTTATATATATTGTTTTGGACAAAGTACATATAATTGAGTAAAAATGCAACCTTTTGCCCCTGACGTGAGGCGGAGTCAATTCAAATAATTCATTATTTGAATATTGGACTTTCAATTTGATTGAATATCCGACTGGCAGATTTTTGATGAACAAACCATATACAAAATTGGTTGCGATAACACAAACACTTGTACATTATAATCACTATAACAGCTTCTCCCGGCAAAGCGGTATCGTGACCACGATTTAGCAAAATTTAAGAGACGAACAATACTTCTTGCCCAGTTGAAAATTCCTATTTCTTTCGAATTGTTTAATGAATAACTTACTTTTTTAATTGTAAGATTTCTGTGGCTTTTCATATGAATCTGCTTGAAACAAGTCTCCATTGTGCAATTTTTCTCATTTCAAACAAAATTCTCCCTTCCTTTTGGCATGATATTCAAATTTGGAAAATAATCTTTGAATATTTGATAAGCAATTGAATATTCGGCACTGCCCTAACCTGACTCAAACTCCTATTTATTTTACCAGTGCACTCAGCTTAAGAACTGAAAGTTTTGATTTGGTGCCGAAATGAAAAGCCTCTTTCACTGAAGTCTTTCACTCATATAAACTCTCGTACTGGTTCCCTTCCACACATTGCTAATGGTGCAGTCGAGAACCAGTGCCCAAGTCATTTTTGTACCATACTTTTTACTTCTTCAAAACATGTCAACGCTCTTACCAAAGACAGTCATCTCAAAGTTCCCTTTTGCAAAGTGTACTTAGAAACCTGTTCAAATTCAAGGCACAATATCCAAGAGTACATCTGAACTCTTATTTTAAATGTGTGAATAGGATTTTTTTTTTACCATGAAAGATACGGTTGGTTTCACCACCAATTGATGTCACCTTTCCACATTCATTTGGGATTACTGTAATAGACAGACTTTGGGAAATTTCATGGGCAATTTTTACAACAAAGAGATTCACACTAACATCAACAAATCATTTCTTACTCTCAGAGCATTACAAAGTAAATTTTAAACTTTATTAACACAGAAATCCAAGTTTGAGTGCAATTCACTCAACAGTAATTTATCAATTTTATCAAATGAACATATTTTTATAGATTTAAGTTCTCACAGTTCACGTCAGAGAATTTCAACTTGATAAAAACAACTGATTCCGAGACACT